CCTTATTTTAACGAGTATGACAATAAATTATCGTGGAAAAATGACGCAAAAGTTCTTAAAAAGTACGATAAATTTTGGCAAAGCTAGCAAAATATTTACTTTTTTGAAAGAAAAGCATATCCTTGATAGATGTAAAACTTGTCAGCACGTTCAATGTTATTTATTTCAATTTCCAAGTAAAGTAAATAAGTTGGCGGCTTTTGAACAGGATTATCTCACTAGCCGCACATTTAATATGGTTTAGTTCTTCTAATGTCGGACATAGTAAAGTAAACGTGTTTAAATGCGACGATGATTTTCACAAATAACTTTAGAGTTGGGTACTAAGAAGCCTACTTTACAAAGTAACTTTGACAAAACATATTTAAAGGTTTCACAGAATTAAGGCCTTGTTCTCCTTACTTTCGGATGGGATTACTGCATAGCTCTACCTACAAGCCTCGATTTTCGAGCACTACTTTTAGTGCCAAAATTTTTTACCTCATTTTTTTAGTTATGCTGTGCTATAAGCATGTTAGGAATGATTTTTGAATCAAAAGTAAGCATAGTATTTTAAATAAAAGGTTTTTTCAACACCTTTTTCCTGATAATTGCGGCATGGAAAATTACCAAGGCTAAATAATACCAACAGCGAATGCGCATTGCTTTCTTAAAGCACCTCCTGAATTAATTTGGTAAGGTAATGATGAAAAAACAGAAAATAAGAATATTGCTTGTAGAATCGTGTTGTCTAATCACAGTCACTCCGCCTCACGCTCACCTGCCAGTTATCTGGTTACTGCGGATCCAACGGCTCCGCGACTTTTCACCTGACGGCAAATATGCCTTACTTGTAAGTATTTAGTATATGCTCAAGACTGGCTACTCTCCTGTTTCTCTATTACGTAGTCCGAATTAATTTTTGCCAACTAGCTTGCTAAGCATACCAAAGAAGGCGGCGCAGTTTTCGGTTTTCTCTATCTAAGCCAGTGACTATTGTGTGAGTATATTCACAAACTCTTAGAAGATTGATGTTCTTCAGCCATCTTAAAGCGGGGCTGATATGTGCAACCTTGCGCTAAACTCTCAAAATTTCCATCTCTAAAAACGGAAGAAATCTAGCTGATACATGATCGGTAGGTGGCGTCAGCATAATTAATTGCATTTATTTATTCGCTAAAATTTGACTTAAAGGAAAGTTAATACAGTATTATCCAATTCGTGTTTTTACAAGAAACACACTTCATCTTTAATCAACATCCATGGAGATGGTTTAGTCTCAAGTTGAAGTGGGGCAGCCGTGCCTTTGCAGCAATTACTTGATGTTTAATGCACTAATTAGCGTGGAAATTTTTGTCAACTTGACAGTTGCATCCTGATTATAAAATTTGGCCTTTGATAAATCAAATGTAGTAAACAAAGGACTTCATTAATTACTTGATAGTGTCACAAGGAGCACCCTTCCACGCTCACTTTGAATTGCAGAAAAATATTAGCAGTTTATTTTTTTCATTTTGAATATCATGGTGAAATTAAGATTTCAGAAACTCCTTAAAAATAAGCGCTTGCAAAAAAAGGAAAAAGATGAATCAGTGAATTAAACGTTTTTTATACCAAAATGTATTTTTTGGTTCTAATAAATGTTGATTAAGACGACGGATTATGTTGAGGTTCCAGTGTTCAACTACGAAAAGTGAAGCATATCGCATACTTGTGAATTCAAGAAGAATGCTGAAAAATGTGCCTGTGTAAATGTTTTTAGAAATTGAAAAACTGGTGTTTTCCTCGCAGAAATGCATCCAAAGCGGCCGAATAAGCCACTGAAATTGAATGGTCACGCGAGTGGAGCACAACAGCGCTCGGATCCCAGCGGTGCGACCCTCTCCGACAGGACAACCGTGGTGGTGAACAACACGGCGCTCCAACTCAAATTCAACGACCTCACCTACGTGCGGAAGCTGGGTAAGCTCTCACCGTCTTGGGAGACTAGCAGCTCAGATGACATAGTCCCAGCTCCATACTGCCCCTGTGGTGGCCATATAGCGAGAAGCTAAAAGACTTGCAGATTTAGATATGAAGCTAAAATAAATGTTATTCCACTCATCTTATGGGTCCCTTCTGGCGCCTTCTAGGATTACAAATCTCCAAGGTAGATATGATGAATTTGGGTCGCCGAAGAAAGGCTCCTTATTTTTTTAGTGCATCCCATGGATTGTGTCTGTATTCTTCTACTCGGCAAAATTCATCTATAAAGAATTGCCATGGGGGGATGGCCAGCGTCCCACAGCCAACATATAATTGTAGGAACACTCACCTGCAAGCAAAAAAATGTCGTTTTTGGATCATAATCACAAATTGCTTACTTCGTGGCAATATTGTTAGTAGTTCTCTAAGAACGAATCGGATTTTTTTCCAGTTTTTGATCCGTCAATGCCTGTAATGCAGACCTTAAAGCTGTGTGAGCTTCCCCCTCTGACATCTGAGCGCATCATTCAACCACCCAAAGGCAAGATTACTTCTCTTTTTGATTCCACCTGCGCCAACACCAGTTTATTGTCCGAGTTATTCCTGTAACAAGTAAAAGTCTGAAAGTTGCATTACCATAAATGAGTAAAAGAGCTGGAAATATGTTAAAACAGGTGTGATATGAGTGAGACTTCACCCCACCAAGGCTGTGGCCGAATCTGAGGGAGAATGAAAAGACCCACACAATGGATTACATTGATGGAATAAACATCATCTTACTAAAGTATGATGTGCAGAATTATCTTATCTAAAAAGCAACACGGCCTTATTACAGATTATAAATTCACGAACGAATTGTGAAGTTTAGTGGATAGAGGTCAAGCTATTCACCTTTGTAAGCCCATCTTTCGCCATTTTGGCGGTGCCTTTTGCACCCCACTTTACGATATCACGGCGTCACAGTGCCAACGCATTTACTGTTGGCGCCTTGTCAGACTCGCAAAAGTGCGCTGCGGTGTCGAGGTGACACTTCGTGCTTACGGGTATACACCGTCTCGAGGGTGCACCGCTTGGGCTGTGTTCCGGAGTTTTTTCATCTGTCTGGCATTAATTTTGCTGACTGAAGTGTAGCACTGAAGTTGACAAGCCATGCCTTAACTGCAACAGCCTTGCCTTTTATCATCAAGGACACGGTGGTTTACTAATAATTAAAGTGATGCCAAATTAAATTCTGAAAGTGAATTAAGATACAACATCTTATTTTATCCACACCTTAGAAAGACGTTCCAGTTTCCTTAAATATCGTATCCATGCAAAGCACAAAAACCCTCTCTATACAGTTTCATTGTGGTGAATTTAACGTCTTTTCCAACAGCTAATCTTGTGTATTCCATTTATTTGGGGTTTTGTTGGAGAAATCTAGTGTTTTGATAAGATTGGACCTAAGTTCAAGGAAGGGCATTTCGAAAATATTAAGGAACGGTTCTGAGAGTATGATTTGGGGTATTAGTTGACCTAAATTCCTGGCTTTGTGGGGAGCACGCTTGGCAGGTTAAAAGCGATTGAAAGAATTTAGAAAAGCTAAGAATGCCCAATTTTTTGAAATAATCGGAAAAAATTTTGATTTCTGCAAGTCAATCCCACTTACCACGAGACTTTTCGAGGTGTCAGTATCAAGTTGACAAAAGTACGGGAGGCCTTCGTCTCTCATTGAGACCTTCGGGTTAATAAAAATAACAGATTTAAAGGAATGAAAAGTATTTTTTTTGACATTTATATCCGTATCGCAGAGTAGACCCTCGATACAGAGATTCTATCAGCATGGGTGAACTATTCTGCTACGGTCGGCCTCTATTGACACCAAGCGTGCGCCAACTTTTCAAAATTGAAGGTTTCCAACTCTCGTGTGATTTTGTGACAGTTCATATGTCGATTATAGGCCCGGGATTAAGCATCCACGGGGTGATTAGACTGCCTCCAGAAATGACGGCTGTGCTGTGGGCTAGCAACGAAGCCACCACGGCCATTTATACTCTTCAAATGTCTTACTACTGGGTGGTTAAATGCCTCATCACTGTACCGCACAATCCTTGAAGTATTCCGTAGACACGAATAATCGCGGATTCTAAACAATCGTTCACAAGGAGCTTCGGAACCACACGCTTTTCTATGCACGCGCCGTCACCGTTGCCCGCGATTTTAATTATCACTGTTTAGACTGACCCAACCAAGACGTTTTCACCGAGTATTTAGCGCATAACAGGGCGAATTTAGCACTTCGAACTACATGGAGTGCCGACCTGGTATCACACTATTATACTTTTGTAAGGTTAAAAGGCTTGGCAGTATTTAAACAGCGTTTCGACTAGGTAATTATCCCAGCAGTGTTATTGTGCCTTTTCGGTATGTCAGGCTCGGGTCAGTTCGCAACCGTGCATCACATGCGGGTGAAGCGCAACGATGTGGTATACGACTTCGCGGTAAAGGAAATTAAGATTAGTCGGTCAGAGATGCTGAAGAGCCGCATCCGCCAGGAGTCCGAATTTGGTATTCGTATGTCTGTGTGTCCCTTCGCGGTCATCACATACGGGGTAATGGGCCGCGGCGACGACGTTCGCATCCTTATGGAGGTCATGGACAGCTCCGTCACCAATCTCTGTTTCAAAGTGAGTACATTTATCTCTCTGTCCCTTTATCCATCTTATAAACGCATCGGCCCAAGTCTAGGCGAAAAAAAGGCTTTCATACTTGCACATGAGGGCACGATCTTGTCGCTAGATTTCCTTACGAAATATACTTCATTCATCCATGACCGGAACCGGTAGAGAACCTCAGAAGTAAAAATACTGTAACCATATTTCACAGAGCTCTAGAAAGGTCAGTCTTGAAGACTTGTCGGAAGTCTGTTTGGATTTTGGTTCAGTTGAAAGCGTTGAGAGACATTAAACCCCATAAACTTCGTTGAAGCTCGAAATTGGGATTGAAATGTCGTAAATTTTGAACAGAATCACCTTTTTACTAAAGTCAAAACTTGGGTCTGACTGTCCAGTTACTAAACATCGGATCTACAAAATTAATTCGAATGCTCTTTAAGTCGCACTTCTTGTAGTTTTCTTTCAAGAATCGAGAGTGGCCAACGTGGACAACTAAAATATGATAATAATTGGGAAGGTCAGCCGTTGGAACTACCATAATGCTTTGAAGTTAAGGTGCCATCAGAAATTCGTACGGGGTATGCGTCGTTCATGCAGTGCTGAAAGTCTCTGTGTACGAATTTGAACAAAGTGTGGATCTTCCCAACTTCACTAGCGTCGCAAACATACGGATTACTGGAAATCGAGTTTTATTAACTTTAAAACCTTTGGTAAGATTTCCTGGCTATTCATTCACGTTCTGGCTGCAATGATTTGTGCACCAATAAAGGAAGTCTTCGTATCTTTGGGTTATTATTCAGATTTTTGGAGAATCGGAGGTATGAGTGACATCCGAATGGGATATTTAACGACTGCTGGGCACGTTTTGGCGGCATGGACGTTTTTACGCTCGACAGAGGTTGAAATTGTGCTGAAAGAAGGTGCAGCATTGGATTTTCTAAGAAAATGAGAGCAAAAGCTGATGAGCAGCACTAAAATATCCTAACTTCTCTTCGACAAAAATCACTAAGCGCTGTACTAACTCTAAATAAAGGAAGGATCCAAATCTGAATCCTGCATTTCAATAAGAGCAGACAACCTTACTTGAGTAAGCTAATGAGAAGAAAAGAAACTGTTGACATGATTTACGAGACTGTGGTATCAACCCACGGACTGACTGACTGACTGCGACTGTGTGTACCGTACTATGCTTGAAGAAGCATGTAAATGTAAGTTTATGAGGGCAAATTACCACGCATCAGAAAGGAGCACCTCTTTTGGATATGCAATAGGACTTGTTTGTAACTAAGCAAGTGAACCGTGTTATGCTTACAGTTCCACCTTGCTCCACTTGCTAGATATGCACGAATTATAGCCAATTTTAACCTCAACACAACAGTGCCTCTCTCTTGAGGTAAAAGCACTACTGAAGCACATATAAGTCAGGCTTTAATTAATAGCAATTTTTTTTATTCCATTTTGTTATTTGAGACGTGACAGAGTTTCTGACAGCACTATGAGGCTTCTTTCTGGTTTCATCCATTTGACCCAATTAGAGGGACCTAGCTTGGCTTGATATGCCAGAAGAGCACGTCGCCTTCATAACAAAGTGTGTAGTCAAAGGCCTTGACTTTCTCTGTCAACGCGATATCCAACACAGGGATGTCAAGCCGACCAACATGTTGGTCAATCGCAGTGGCTTTGTGAAGGTCAGTGAAGCTAATGTTTACTTTCATAAGTGCCACATGTGCAAGTGTACTGCTGCGCTATCACATTAGTTCTACCCTAGGATGGTGGCAACATTTCAATTTTCTTTAGACAGAGAGCTTCATTCCCACTCAGATCTTAGGGCCAGATCAACCACTACGATCCACTAGGTCGTTTTATTGTTCTCTTATAACATCGAAGCTTGGCCTATCGATTTGACCAATTCAACCGCCGCTCAATGCCTAAATTGTATTTATCTCCAATCCTAAAATATCCTACACCTATTCCATTGTTTTCGGCCCCAACGTTCCGCTTGAGTTACTACTTTTGTGGCCAGTTGCTATTAGAGTGATGAAGAACACTTACCACATATTTGTGACTAAAAAGTCGCCACGCAATAAGCGTGTGATGACGACAACGACTGAACTGGTTTACTTAAAAATTCACTGAGAAGAATAGACATCATTAGTCAACATCAAGTTTTTCTTATAATCATAGTTGAATTGATTGAAATAGCAGCTGTGAAGTAACATAAAAAAAAGCCCTTCAATGTACGATTATGAATAAAAGTAATCAATGCTTTATTACCTAATCCAAGTGGATTAAGTTAATTTAAGAGATGTCTGAATAACTCTTGTTGGTTTTGAAGCTTGTGTCCACATCGCACTAGCTGACGACAGCGCTAACTCGCACAGGAAGTTGTTCCTTTACCCTTGTTGTCTAACACAGTGTCCACTTTGGACTAAAAATTTGAACAAAGTTTGGATGATGGTTCAGCACATTTCTCTCATTAGCATGCTACTTAGGGAAATATTATTTAGCAGAGGTTTCAGGAGTTTAGAATTCTTCGAGTTATACTAAATAATGCTATAATTTAATTCCATAGGTAATAATAACAATACCCGTTTATAAGGCCTAAATAATCAGATAAAATTTGAGTTTCACCAACATAATAACCCACCACTATTTCCTTTTTTTCGAATGAAAATACTAGTAAAACATAAGGAAATATTAAAGCCCAAGATAATATTCCACAATCATTACAGGTAACCGGTTACGTTCCAGAGGAAATATTGGGATTTTTCCCTAAAGTTCTATTAACAAACTCAAAAAAATTAAGAGCTTAACTATACCCGTGAGCCTGTTTCACTCTTCATTTTGACAAAATTATGGTGGACAATTCAGTCTGACTTATCTTGATATCTCAATCCACTTACGACTACCCGAAAAAATGATAGAGTTAAAAAGAACTTTAAACGCATCTCATTGTACCTAGATATGTGACTACGGAGTGGCTCAGAAGATGGAAGGTGACGTTACAAAAACGAATGTAGGCACTTACAAATTCCTGGCGCCGGAGCGACTGGTGGGAGGAAGGCAGGAGGAGGGGTTCCGAATTCAGTCAGACGTCTGGTCATTGGGAGTTAGCGTCTACAACATTGTGACGTCTTCGATACCCTTCCCCGAGAACGCGACCATATTCGATTATCACAGTTACATTACGGCGAATGCAGACGTTGAACTGCCGACGGATAGACCGTACTCCCCTGAACTGCGTACCTTCGTCTCTTCTTGCCTCAAAGTTAACGAAGCAAACCGTCCCAACTACACAGAGCTGCTCAGATTGGACTTTATAGCGAATATCAAGATTAAAGAGCATAAACCCCTGTTCGGGGAGTTTGTGCGCCAAACACTTGATGACTCTTTGAGCACACCCGAGTAGCCTTGTTCTATCAAATCCCACACACACTCACACCCCGTCCAGTCTCTCATCCCCTGCAGTCCCTTTGACGACAGTTGTTTTAAAACCCTGACCTCCCTAACCGTTCTGAAAGTGTTGCAAGTCCTGTCCTCCCCGATTACCATCTAGTTTCCTATCGAAATTGTGCTGCCAAAGTGGTTAATTTTTCCCTGATAAGAGCATTCGTTGGTGTGTCTGCTTGCTTATTTTAAAAGCTTATATACATGAGAGAGCTACGACGAGGAAGTCTTGGGTTACAGGAGCACAAACTTAGCTTCCAAAGCGTGTGCTGTACCTATTTGAAGGACCAAATTACGAGATCTCTGCAATTATAACGGCATTCTACCAAAAGGAAGAACGAGTACGTAATTCCAACCAATCAGTGGTTTTGCGCAAAAAGCAAATCAAGAGTTTTTTAAAACATACCATGCCATATAAAAATGGAGGGAAACAAAATAAATGCATGTTTTAAATTCACTGCATGAGAAATCGACGACACTGTTATTGATAAGTCTTTTAAATGTCTTTAAGTACTGAAAAGTTGAAGTGAAAACCGCAGATAAATTGGGTTCTTAAAATGCGTTGAGATACAAATAATTACAAGAAAACAATACAAATGAAAGCTTTAGCTGTTGCAATACATTAACAATGACGTTAGTTATGTGAACAGGA